GTTAACAGGTTGTCACATGTCCACTTATTTGTTGTTTCTGAATGTGATAATTTGAGCATTTCTTACCAAATTCGACAAGAAGGTGAGTATGGATATAATTTAATTAAAATATAAATGTTCTTATTTTCATTGGTATATGATGAGAATCGGTTTTTTAAAACATTTTTTTAATGCTGTTTTAAGTATTAAGAGCTTACATAATATTCAGATAGGGGGTGTAAAATACTGATTTGAGTATAATCAACTGTATCCAGGGGATGTCTTTCTACACAGTACTGGCCCATATTTAAGAAAACCACATCTTAATGTGACCAATTGATGTGTCACAGCTGTCAGAAATTTGTCTATAGTGGACAACATGCCTTCAGGACTTCAGTCTCATGATTAACACTGGCAAGCACTAGTGTAATTATGGCTGTCTACTACTGGTGTGTGTACTTAATTTGGTTGGAATTATGTGGAGAATAAGAGGCCAAATTGTTACCTCTTCCACTGAACAGATGGGAGAGGCTAAGAAAAATGTTTGTTGGGAATTCTCAGTTGCCGCTGCATCAGAACTACATGAAGTACATAGAAGTACACTGATACAATGAAGATACAATGTACACAAGTGTGAATGAGTTAACAGTCGCCACTGTAGTTGATTGATTATTTTATTTTATTTTATTCCTGCACTCTGTGTTATGGTGTCTGCCACATGTATCTCCACAAAATGTGGCAGATGTTAGAGGGCCATTTTATTTATGAGACACTAAACTGTCAGTCATGCTATGTACCCCTCATTTGACTTCCTTGGAGTAATGGTTTTTTTGATTTTCTGAAGTTGTGGAATTTGCTTTCTTATTGGGTGAGATACTGTAGTCTAGTGGATGTTTACATATGTTTCAGAGGATTGTGCTATCTTTGTATCCAGGGTACCTTGAAGATGGAGGCAGCACATTTTTTTAAAATATTGCTGTGTGTGACCGCCTCTGTGGTTTAGTGGTCAGAGTTCCTGGCTACAGATCCAGAGGTCCAGGCTCGATTCCCAGTGCTACCATATTTTCTGAGAAGTAGTGGGTCTGGAACGGGTCCACTTAGCCTAGTGAGGAGAATTAAGGAGCTGTTTCAAGGAAATAGCGGCTCTGGTCTAGAAAACCGAGATTAATGGCCGTGGGGATTCATTGCACTGACCACACGAGACCCTCTATCCGCTAAAGTTGGCACTAACTTCGCTGACAAGCGGCAGTCGCTCGGTCAGTATAGTTCACTTATGGGCTGAAACCACGGAGTTTGCTAACTATGTGTCAGACTTAATGGCATCACATCCCAGAATAGTCTCTGCTGTGGGAACTCCAGATCTCACAGAGATCCTTTAAAACTTCAAGTGGCAGTGTTTGAGGGTACTGTCTTCTGGGATGTGACACCTACATACTACATGGTGTCACATCCAAGAAGATAATTCTCTTCATAGTCATTGCTCTGAGAATCTCAAATCTGATGTAAAATGTTGGAGTTTGGTGAAAATTTTCTAGTTTTAATGTTGTCAGAATTGAGATGGGAGAAGCTTAGCTGCTGGATTCACGTACAGCATTATTTTTTTTGTGTATCTTAACATTCAGTGTAATTCTGTTCCCTTTGATTGATTGGATACTGCTCAACATTTTATTATAACCATGTAGCAGATTTGTATGCTCAGTACTGGCCCAGTTCATATGCACAAGTAATTTGCTATTATGTCATGTTATAATGAGAGTCCGGCACATAAGGCTGACAACTGTACTGCCATCTTTGAGCCGATTGTCTAGATAATGTGGGACCCTCAACGTCTCACAACCCTATGGGCCTTCACAGCCTGGTACAGGGATAGCTTCACTTTACTTACTTTTTACTTTAAAATGAGAGTAAAACATGACATGATAGTTTAAAATGATAAAAAGTTGAAAATTCAAGATAGATGTATGTCTTTCTGAGATTAATAAGGATATGACATTTTCCCTGTGAAAGCTGATGGTTCTGTATTTTCTTTGTGTTACTGTGGTAGACCTGTAGTAAATAACAATAAACAACATAACTTCATATGTAACTGTGCAACTGATCAGACTGGCCTAGCAGTTAACACTAGAATTATAGGTCAGAGATGCTTGGTTCAAATCTTAGCTGTGACCAGCTGTTTTTTTTTTTTTTTGTGGTTTTCCTCAGCCCTTTCAGGGAAATGCTGGGAAAGTACTTTGATTAGGCCATGACTGACTCCTTCCAGATACCTTCCAGTTGATCAGTGATCCTGTCTTTTAGTGCTATATTATCTTGCTACTGATAGCATTGTGAAATAAACCACAAGCAAGTCTCACTACAGTGGTTTACATTAAGATTCACTGATGCATGTTTGGGTTGCCTTTGACTTACTGTCTCAAACACCCCCACAGGCACAGACAAAATCAATTGCATCTGACCATCAGGGGAAAGCTCAGTTAATTTTTTCTTGCATAACATGTACGTCTCATGTGGAGGTGAGTTAAAATACCTCCCTGAGTGTTTCTGAAGGTGGAAAAAAGGAACCAGGTGCCTGGGATTATAACTGGGCCAGTCGGTCACTGGGGGACATAAATAGAAAGATCTGATCCTCGAGGTTGGGGTTGGACGCAAGGCTGGCAACCTTGCTCTGTAAAGGGACATAAATAAAAAGACCTGATCCTCGAGGTTGGGGTTGGACGCAAGGCTGGCAACCTTGCTCTGTAAAGGGACATAAATAAAAAGACCTGATCCTCGAGGTTGGGGTTGGACGCAAGGCTGGCAACCTTGCTCTGTAAAGGGACATAAATAAAAAGACCTGATCCTCGAGGTTGGGGTTGGACGCAAGGCTGGCAACCTTGCTCTGTAAAGGGACATAAATAAAAAGACCTGATCCTCGAGGTTGGGGTTGGACGCAAGGCTGGCAACCTTGCTCTGTAAAGGGACATAAATAAAAAGACCTGATCCTCGAGGTTGGGGTTGGACGCAAGGCTGGCAACCTTGCTCTGTAAAGGGACATAAATAAAAAGACCTGATCCTCGAGGTTGGGGTTGGACGCAAGGCTGGCAACCTTGCTCTGTAAAGGGACATAAATAAAAAGACCTGATCCTCGAGGTTGGGGTTGGACGCAAGGCTGGCAACCTTGCTCTGTAAAGGGACATAAATAAAAAGACCTGATCCTCGAGGTTGGGGTTGGACGCAAGGCTGGCAACCTTGCTCTGTAAAGGGACATAAATAAAAAGACCTGATCCTCGAGGTTGGGGTTGGACGCAAGGCTGGCAACCTTGCTCTGTAAAGGGACATAAATAAAAAGACCTGATCCTCGAGGTTGGGGTTGGACGCAAGGCTGGCAACCTTGCTCTGTAAAGGGACATAAATAGAAAGATCTGATCCTCGAGGTTGGGGTTGGACGCGAGGTTGGGGTTGGACGCAAGGCTGGCAACCTTGCTCTGTAAAAGAATTACTGTTGCAAAATCCAGAAAAGGGAGAACTGGATGGTTTCATTCACAATGGAACAGACAAGTCTGGCAAAATCTTCTAAGTAAGTCTGTGGTTCACAGAGGGCTGTTCTGTCAGTGATGATGATGTAACAGACAATGCAGTTGTATCGGGGTGTCTTTCAGGATTTATTAATTTTTTCTGTATAACAGTCCATTTATTATGGTTATAAATAATAAATTAAACAACATAAACACTCTGATTGTTCTGCTGTATTCTTTACCTTACACTTAAACACATATAACTCAAGGCAATGGGCAATGCCATTGTATTCACACACTTATTGGTTATTTTTGGTTGAACAGGTCTCTACACCTGCGTCATGTTTAGGAAGCCCTTTAGCTATGATAGTGGCTGTCCTGACAGATTCTTCACGGTATTTCACAGTCATTTAAAGTGAGTACTGAGTTAGATTCTAAAGGGTCCTGACGATTGTGTATAATACTCAGAATTACTGGGTTTATGGGCTTTGTTCATTGTCTGGTATTCTGGAAACTAGGAAGCACAACGTTTCAGAAACTAGATCTGTGTCTGTCCTCAGGTGACGTGGGAGACACCTCCGTAGGGTCCCTTAAGAAGAGCTAACCTCAGTCATTTTCTAAGCGACCCAGCAAAGTAGGTGGAAACAGATCCAGTTCCCAGAACGTTATGTTCTCTAGTTTCCCTAATACCGGATGATGGACAAGTCCAAAAATGCAGTAATTCTAAGTACTGAATTAATACCAAAAAAGTATGCCATGGCTACAGCCTTCCATATTTATTCAAAGTCTCCAGTAACTATCATATCATGGCAATCAACCGACAGCATGGTATTATGTCAATGAAGGAAACATTTCCACTACAATACTAACTTGAATATATGAATCATTTGCTTAGAATTTTGGTTAGTGTTGCTTTAAATGTACAGTAAACCAACTCCCAACATGGCTTTTAGGTTCCTCAAGAATGGTGTATCAGGTAAATTTGCAGTGAACAGACCTGGCATCTTATGATTCAAGTGAGGATACGTGAAAATGTCTGTGTGAAGTCTCCCATTAATACCTGGCTACAATAATTTTTTTACACACACACAAGCACTGCCCTTACTGTATATGAGTTGAAAACATAATAAACCCATAAATATTATGACTTTCACACATGGTAAATGCAAATACAATATGTTACATGTGGCATTGTATTGTAAATTATGCACCTGTGAATGATAATAATAAAGAATTGTGTCGATGAATGATTTTGAGAATGATTATTGGAAGGAGAGGTCTTAATTGGTTGAAGCCAAGGGATCAGAGTGCATACACTCAATTTTTCTGTGTTTGGTAAATGATTATTTATGTTTTGTTTTGTTTTGTTTTTTCTTTCTTTCTTTCTTTCTTTCTTTCTTTCTTTTTTTTTTGCATGTGTAAGCAAGTCTACTTTAGACAGGGGTTTGCAGTGTTAATTAATTCATTCGTTTTGAAGTTGATGAAGTTTTTGAATTTATTCTCTGTTTGTTTTTAGAAATGTTCGTACATGTTAACATTAACCGCAGGTTGTTCTATTAAAGTTCACAGTATTGGAATAATAGCAACAGATAAATGTATCCATTTTATATAATGTGAGACGCTGGTAAAAACGGCTGGCACTGAAGCACACGGATATCTCATCCAAGATGTAACTCCAACAATCACATTTTTCACCATGAGTGGGGAACCATTGTCACCCTAAAACAGACAGTAGTGATCATTAAAATGTTGATCAAAGTATATTATTGAATTTAATTATGTGTTCATATTGTGACGTGCTGCACTATGGATGGTGCCCCTCCCTCCCCGCCAGCCGTGATGTGCCGAGCGGAGCCGAAGTGAGCCGAGTCACAGCACGCTGGTTGCTATGCAAAGCGAGTAAACAGCGGTTGCTAAGCAAAGCCAGTCATTAAAATTTGGTAACCTTCCTTTAAACTTACGTCACATATTCCCTCTAGTTTATCAGGATTTCCTGCACAGATTGTGCTGTTTGTTGGTCCTTCTCCATAAATTGCTTCACACTCTTCATGACTATAGATTTTCAAGTTGTCAATCTTCTTCAGTGTTTCACTCCAGCTGCAAAAGCCCTGTGCAGAAAGAAATGTGTGAATGACACTGAGTTTTTGGATTTCAGGTCTTCACTGTGCTGACTATGAAGAGTACAGTCTTCTGAGTTGTAATGCCAAGTAGCCTGGAGAAACATTTGTGGCAGCCGTAATCTCAGAAATCGAGGTATCTATATCAAAATCATTTGTCAAACTTATAAATGAATTAGTATTGGCAATGAAATTGTTCAGGATGATAAATTAAGAATTTTTAAGTACAAATCACTTATGTATTTTCTTGTTTATTAGTGAAGATTGTGATTCAGTGTTTGTTAGCATACTTTTTGTGTTTTGTACTGTGTGGACACCATCCCACAGTAGGGAAGGGAAATATGAAAATGTGCCTGTGCCTGATTAAGCATCCCTCCATGAAGGTGAGTGAAGGCATGGCGATATAACTCCCTAAATTCTTAACCTCAGCATTGGATGGAGGTCACTGGTCTGCTTCATGTCTCGGCTGCTTTTCCCTGGGGAAAGAGCCTCTGATACCAATTTGCTAGGAGGCTGGGTGGGCTCTGGAGTTAGTCTGGATGCTGTGGAGAGAAGAGCTTGCCCCTACCTGGAACTGAACCCTGATTTCTCTGTCATAAAGTCTGTAACCAGCTGAACTATCCTGGTACCTCTGTTCAGTTCTTTGGGTAATGCCAAATTTGTGTCCATGTGAACTTCTGAGATTGAAGCAACTGTGGTCCCACTTAGTGTAAAGGTAAAAGGTGCAACCATTCCACCTACTTCAGCACAGCACGCTGCCTTCAGCAGTTCTGTTCTTCTCAATGAGGGTATGTGCAAAGGGTGCTTCAGCTAGTTAGCAGTCATGGGTTCTTATCTCAGAAAATTCTGGTTGCTTTAGCGACTGGGACATGAAGAAATCTTATTAAACTATTTGTTAAACACAGCAAATGTCACATTGATCTGGCTTATATCCAAAGCACTGTTTTTAAATCTCAATCATTACACTTCTGTTCAATTGCCATTTCTCACTTTAAAATTGCTGTTCACATATAAATTAAAAACCTCCTTACTTCAGATTTCTGTTATCTCATTATCTCTCGACAGTGACCACCATCCACCCACAACTCCATAATTTCACAGCCTCTAAACTTCTTAACAGCTCCACAGCTCCCAAAACGGCATAAAGAACTACCTCCATGTCACACCCAAACACATATATATGTATATGTATGTATGTATGTATGTATATATATCCACAAGGGGGAGGGTTCATCCCGACATCTTTGCTTCTGAACCCACCTAGAAAGCTGTAACTGATTTTCCTATTGGTCATGCAGCTCCAGTTTCGAGGTTAGAGGTCAAAATTTTGACTCTTCCCAATCAGGGTGTTTTGGCACCTGAGCACTCCTCTTTGCAGGTCCCAGTTGGGTTACCGTGGGTTAGGCTTTGACAGTCGACCTTTGTTCAGCAGTCTTAACTCATCTGATAATAACATTCTATCCTCAAACAAACACATTTAGAACAGAAGAAACCTTCCTTTTCTTTGTAGCAGTTCCTTTTGAAATTACACCCTTTTGGGTTCAGTTCGTTTCTTAACCATTAAAAGTATAAGTGCCTGCAAAGTGGTTCTTAATTTGGAAGGTCCACCCTTTGTGACAATAGTTCCACATTTATGGTCAGGTTAAATTGAAACTGTAGATCTTTCACCCTTTGCTTCACATTGTGTCTGTTTATGGCACCTGCCATGTCCCTTTTATAGAATAACAAGAAAGACATGCAAGGAACATTTCTGTTTCCAAGATAAGTCCATAAAATTTAAAGCAGTGATAGTGGATACAATAATATGAATTCCAATTGGACAAACCACCATTAATATTGGAATGTTTACAGACTACTCTCTTCTGGAATGTGACATTGTTTAGCCTGATGGATCATTACCAGTGTTTCAGAGGAATCTGTTTTTATCTTTAAAGTAGAGGAGGCTCCCTGTTCTGCCCCGGAGACAGCTTTGTCTAATATGTTGGTAATGATATGTCATACTATACAAACTGGGACTAAGTGATAGTCCCACTTGTGAGAGGTGTCAAGAAGAAAATGAAACAGCCACACACACATCCTGTGTGAATGTGAGGCCTTAGCTTATTTAAGAATATGTCACCTGGGTTAATACTTTATGGGACCAAGTGACTATTTTGATGCCCCAATGTACAAAATCCTGTGCTTCATTTGAAGCGCAGGATTGCTGAGAGAATAATCAAAAGGGGAAGCACAATAGATCACTGTAGGTCGCGGTGCACGGGCCGAGAAGACCCACTCCTTATACATTCATTCATTCATCATACTATACAGCAGCACATCCTAGAACACAGTAGTTTTACAGTCACTATGAGGAGAAAGTAAGGTCTCACATATTAATTTATAGTTCTTTTTAACATCTGTATATAGATGAAGGGGATTGCATCTGTGGTCTAGTGGTCAGCATTCGTGGCTACAGATCCAGAGGTCTGGGTTCGATTCCTGGCGCTACCAGATTTTTTCAGAGAAGTGGAACGGGGTCCACTCAGCCTCATGATGATAATTGAGGAGCTATTTCAAGGAAATAGCGGCTCCGGTCTAGAAAACCGAAATTAACGGCCGTGGGGATTCATTACGCTGACCACGCGACACCCTCTATCCGCAAAAGTTGGCACTAAGCTTTGCTGACAAGCGGCAGTCGCTCGGTCAGTATGGTTCACTTGCAGACTGAAATCACGGAGTTAAAAAAATACAGATGGAGGTCATCAGCACAGTTTTTCATGGATGTTATTGTATGGATTATCATCTGAATATCTGCGATGTATGCAAGAGATGATGAATTTAAGATTCGTGATACTTTCTATATATACAATGCCATCTGACTTGGATGAATTTTAAAAAACTATGATACTGTATGCAACTTACACAATTTGCTCCCCAACCAAATACAGTGCCAGTTTCATTGGTATAGTCTGCAACATCAGCATTAGGAAGCACAGCTGTGTATGGGCCTTCAATTATTGGTTCTACCTGTTAAAATACATAACTTGTCATTTTTAAAATAAATTACATATATTTATTAGATATTTTCTATTAGTTTGAATATATGCAGTCAGCTTTATTTTTATTTTATGCATTCTGTTGTGTATATGATATTATATATTTTGTACCATCACATAACATTTGATTATTGTATAATGAAATGACTGAGATCAAGTGAAAACAAAAAGTCAGCTTATTATATTATACATAAATACATATACAGTATAAAATATTAATTGATTTACTGTTTCTAATTTTATTTAAAGTTCTGTACTATTTATACTTATGGGACATTAAGAATTTCTGGTATTTATATATTTATATTATATTACATGATACACCTTATGATATGTGACAGAACTTCTGGCTCTCAAGACCTCTTCTGACCTATGTTTTGCATTTCTTGCACTAAGATATTTGCAATATTGTTTCTGACCTAGTAAGAATATAAGAGACTTATATAGAAGAATAAATTAATTTAGGAAGGGTTACTTACCTAGAAATTACATGGTAAAGGATGAGAACAGTTATCTGCTTGCATATTCCCACAAGATTTTGAATAGATGGAAGAATTACTTTTCTCAGCTATTGAATGTACATAGAAATACTTAACAGCTAAGCCATTGGTACAAGTCTGGTCCTTCTGACGTTAATTGCAACGTTGGAAGGTATAAATCACAGATATTGATCAAATTCTAGCATAACTGATTCAGGAGGTGAACATTACACTCTGAGATCCATAAACTCATTCATTAATAAGAAAGAGTTGCCTATGCAGTGGAAGGAGTGTGTTAATTGTACCAAATTACAAGAAAGATAATGAAACTGAAGAGCAATTACTGAGGTATACCATCTTATCAACTTCATACAGATTTTTACCCAATACCCTTCTCTCAAGCTTAAGCCCTTAGGTAGACGAAATTATTGTGGATCATTACTGTGTTTTCAACACATCAGATCAACTACTGATCAAATTTTTTTTGCATTTGTTGGATCCTGGAGGAAAAATGGGAGTACAATGAAACAGTACATCGACTGTTTGTAGACCTCAAGAAAGCCCAAGTTTCAGTTAGGAAGGAAGTGTTATACTGTATTCTCATAGAGTTTGGGGTACCCATGCAACTAATTGGGCCTATTAAAATGTGTTTAAAAGAAACTTATAATAAACTCTGTGTGGATAAATGTTTGTCTGTTATATTTCCTATTAGGAATTGTCTAAAAGAAGAAGATGCATTAATTAGTTAGTTAGTTAGTAAGTTTGTGTCTGGGTAACTATCATACCTTCACTAGAGCAATGTTATTGTTCCAGTATTTATTATTATTGTATTCATTGTGATTAATCCATTTTGTAATAGTATGGTTATCATATTGTCCATTATTATTGTTCCTTGATATCACAATGAAATCTTTTGTACCACTGTAAAAGCATAAAAGAAATTATTAGTTTAATCTATACGGTATTAGTTGAAATCATAACATTAATTTTATGATGAATGTCTATATAAAATTGTATAGACCTGATTCCATACTTCATAAGCAAGTTACAACTGTTTACTCTAGTAAGAGAGGCAAAGCTATCCCTGTAANTGCGGCTGGAATTGATGAGAGTTCAGATGGATGGTTTATGATTCATCTGTAGACTGTATACAAACTGTTGTAGGGTTTTCTGGTTCTTAGGTTTCCGTGCTCTGTCTCCAGTATGTTACTTAGTTTTTGAGTTCAACTACGTTAATTGTTGAGGTTTTGGATTACTGGGTGTATTGTCTTCTGTCCTATAGAATACAGACGTATCCAGTAGTTTAGCATATGTAGAAGTCTTCATCATCAAGGCAAGTGAGGTAGGCATAAGATGTGCGCAATATGTAGGTGCCATATCCTGATATAAAAGTCTTGCAAAAATCCACACTTCATCCTTGCATCATCTGGGAAGCCTATGAAATAGCTAAACACCCCCAAACTTCAATCATAAGGATGGGATCAAACTACGTAACATCTGGTCTCTCGTGTTTCCTCCAAGCTTTCTTCTTACAGGTTCATGATAATTTCCGTGAATCATGAGGTAAATAATGTTCCCAGACAGGTCTACCTTTTTGTCTTTAAGAAATTTATATCCATGAGAATGGGGAAGTTTATTCAGTTGAATACACCAGTTTTCCAAGTGCTTACTTTGCAGGATTTGAGGTTCTGGCAGTGATGACTATGGAGGTCATTGTCTTCTGGAGTGTAGCACCATGTAGTTTGGTTGATAGTCATGACCATTTTGAAAAAAATCTGCTTTATTTGCAGTTTTCGCTGCTTTATTGGTCTTGGTGTTCATTTATTGCAGATCCAAGTTTATTATTTCAGGTACAAGTCTGTTGTAGAGCCTATTACATTGTAGTTATTACGTTGCTTAGATCAGAAATTATTTGTCCATGTGCTTTGTTAAATATTCACCATGTCAAAATAGTGTCTCAGACCACAGTCATAAATCTTTATGACCCATATATTTGTGTTGTATGCCAATTTTTTGTATAGTGAGTTTTTTTAAGAAAATTATGAAAGTTCAGTTTAAAATTAAAGTAAAATAATCAAAATCACATTTTCTCTCAATTCTGAATTTCACAAACCGTAGGTGTGAATTAAAAATTAGGCAAATTTATGGTTGTGCCATTCCCATCATGCATTCGTTTTATGAACTTTATGTAAATAAAGTATGAAAATGAGAGTAAAATTTGAAATATTATGAGAATAAACAGCACACATAAACAGCATGGCACATGGCACAAATATACTTATACCTAGGATTGCAATTAGCAGCTGTAAGAAACCACTGAGGAAAAATTCGTGTGCCAGTACATTGTGCAGTGGTGTTGGGGTTCAGCAGAAGCACCTGTAAGCAAGCAGATGAGTATATATTGAGTCTGTATCTCTAACAAGGCTTAAATTATTTCTTATGATACATGATAAGTTGTGTGTGTTATTTGAATCTGTAAGCTACGAATACAAGCAGAAAGTTATCACGAAGCTCTGGAAAGAACTTGTGACACTTTTTTCTAATCTAGCAGAAACTGTAACTGCTTTAATCCATATTCATGAAGGTAAATGTATATACAAGGGGGGACCCAAAAATAACCGGAAACGACCTGTTGCACGCGCATCT